ATTATTATTATTATTATTATTATTATTATTATTATTATTATTATTATTATTATTATTATTATTATTATTATTATTATTATTATTATTATTATTATTATTATTATTATTATTATTATTATTATTATTATTATTATTATTATTATTATTATTATTATTATTATTATTATTATTATTATTATTATTATTATTATTATTATTATTATTAATAAAATTAAAACAGCCTAAGGGCTGTTTGGCAACAGGGCTTGGCCGAAGAAGCTCCCGAAAGGGGAGAGTTACCTTCACGGCTGAGAGCTCCCGTTCTTGCTTAGGATCCGACAAGAAGGGAATGCCGTCGAGAGGCGGCTTCGGCTGGGTGTCGGGAGGGAGATCGGAGACAGAGGGGGGCGACGGGTTGGACGGGTCTCACGGCTTAAGGCAGAGAAGGGGAGGTCGGTCGGCAAGGTGTGGAGGTAGGTCGGTTCCCTCCTCTCTCTCTCTCTCTCTCTCTCTCTCTCTCTCTCTCTCTCTCTCTGCCAGAGGAGGTCGGCAAAGGCAGTGGAGATCGGGAGGCTTCGACTGCAGGAGGAGGGATGGACGAGGCTTTGCGGTGGGTCGGAGATGAGAGGGGAGGTCCGACTGGGATTTTGGAAGAAGAGGGGAGAGCAGCGTGAGGGTTCGGTCGTGGCTTGGAGTCGAGAGCAGGCGGGATTTGCGAATTGGAAGCAGTTACTGGAGTCGAGAGAGGAACAGAGTTTCGGCTCTGTGAACGAACTGGCCAAGAGAAGCCTCTACCTCTTCATTTTATAGACGCGAGTGGAGGCCGAAGGTCGAGGCTACGTACAGGAATCGCAAGATTTGCGGGATCAGACGCGAACGGCGCCGCGTCTACAGTGTTTCAGTGGGATATGTGTATCCGACGGGTAAGATGTGTGTGTACAGGATTTTTTTATCTTCTCCCCATTGTTCCTTTGAGCATTACATGAGGGTCAACAACAGAATACGAAATGAACATATACGTGAAAAGGTTGGAGTAGCTCTAGTGGAAGATAAGATTAGAGAGAGTCTCCTTAGATGGTTTGGTCACATAAAATGGCGGCCTTTCGATGAGCCGGTTAGGAAAGTAGATGTATTAGATTTGACTTATGTTAAGAAAGGTAAAGATAGATCTAAAAAGACTTGATTATAAAATATTAAAAATGACATTTCTTTATTAGATTTAAATGATAATTTGACTCTTAACAGGACACAATGGAATAAAATGATTCATGTAGCCGACCCTACGTAGTAGGATAATGGCTTGATGTTGTTGTTGTTGTTGTTGAATTAATATTTGTACTCCATACTTGAAAAGCACTAAAGTAAATTATGTCAATTTTGACTAAAATCTATAAATTTGATTATTTAAATTATGTCAATTTTGACTAAAATCTATAAATTTGATTATATCTAATAATAAGATTATATATTTAAATTAGTAGCCTCAGATATATAATTATTAAGGTTCAATCACTACGGGAAAACACGTGATTACCGTCGGAATTTCCGGCGAATTTTTTTGCGCCGGCATTGTCGGCGCAAGTTCCGGCGGAATGATGCGACGTAACGTTTACGGCGTCATTTCCGGCGGAACGGACGCCGAAAATTTACCGGCGTCAATTGCGCCGGAAATATCGCCGGTGAAAAGGGCTCTGGATTATTTCCGGAACAGGTTTTCCTGTAGTGAATTAAGGCACAGAAAATTAATAAATGAGATTGAAAAACAATATGAAACTTGGGTCATGATTAAGTTCATAAGAAAATAAAGGAACAGAACCAATTCAATTCATTAAAAACCCTGGTTAGGATAGTGGCTACTATGCAATCACATCTAGCCTGTTGATTGATTTAAGCCAATGATTTGGAAACATGCAACTCATGCAAGGGTGACTTTCTGTCTCAACTGCTCACTCCAAATGATATTATTTGTTCTTGGCTTGGCACGTTGCGATCCATTTGGGGAAGGCACAGTTGCCATTGAATGTAATTGTAGATATGGTATGAGAAAAGTAGAGGTTTCGAAAGCTACTATCGGAATTGTACAAATTTCATTTGTTGAAAAAATTGGACAACAGCACTTTTATAGCCAACACATTTTAGCATATCTCACAAAAACTTTTGAAACAATAACAAGAAAATTATCGCTAAACAACTTGGCAATTTTCTGTGAAAATGCTGCCCTGGACACTTAGAAATATGGGTTTTGAGCAAATGGTTTAAATCAAGACTAAAGATTTAAAATCTTGACCGTTGGTTGTCTACCATAGAAGGACCATTCACATCTTACGCAAAATCATGTAACTGCAAGCCACTCGCCATAGTATATCATAAGAACAGGAAAATATTGACTGTTATAAAACATAGAACTTACTTGTATGGTTTTTACAAGTTTAGGACTGGCATCGGAAAGTCTGTAAGTTAGCGGATGCCAGCCGCGCCTTTCATGACCCTTGGAAGACGACATATCCCATACCGTATGGGTCAAGGACCTTCTAGTAATTTCATCCTCTAGTCCATGTTGCTGGAATTTAGGAAAAAAAACAATAATTAGCACTGAAGAAGGTTTATATGAATAGAAAGTCCACTGTAAAAAATTTCTTGTCCTGTTGTTTCTAAGCATGTTCAATTTTCGACATCTAAGTATAAAACATGGAAAGAATTCACCTATATATATATATATATATATAGAGAGAGAGAGAGAGAGAGAGAGAGAATGTATTCCATCCGGCCAACTTAGAAAGTTGAATTAAGAATATTAATAATGATGATTAGAAATACAACATCAAAAAAAAATTTCTTAAAAGCCATCATCATGGAGAAATCAAATCATTTGAGCTCAATCTAATTCCCTACATTTCTATTCATCCCAGAGATTCAGCCCACATAATTAAAACCTTATTAATGATAATTGAACAAATTTAATGAAATGTATAAAACATATAAAATCAATGCAATTTAGCAACAATAACAACATCAAGCCTTTATCCTACTATGTGCGGTCCACAAGAAGAATCATTTTTCTTAATTGGGTTTGGTTAAGAGTCAAGTTCTCATTTAAATCTAAAAAAAAGGTTATTTCTAAAACTTTCTAATCAAGTCTTTTTAGTGAGAGTCGCCTTGGATGGGATCAACTTGGACTCGGACTTGGACATTGAATTGGAACATTGAATGAAATAAACTCAAATTTCAAAATCAAACTTGAGGAAGAAAAGTTTGAACTCAAAGGATGAATGAAATGGACTCAAACTTAACTTGAATGATAAGAACTTGAACTCAATATGATCACAAAGAAACTTGGACTCATACTTGACTTGAACTTACAAAATGAACAAGGACATGACTTGATCGAACGCAGGGGACTTGAATTTGAAAATGAAGCAAGGAAACACTATCATGACTCAATCTAAACTTGAAAGAATAATGCAAAGGATTATAATTGAGCTTGGACTCGAGTAGATATGAAGGAATTCAAATATGACTCGAATAATTGAGACGGAATACTTGCAAACTTGATTTGAATAACAAAGAACTCGTTGCTTACGAAGAACAATATGAGAACAAGAAACTGCAGTCACCTACACTTGATTAAGAACTTTGAACATGATATGGTAACCCACCTACAAATCATCATGCAAGATCTTTAATGAATGTCATAACAATTCATGAAGGCCGTGTCAGTTGAAATGCAATACTAATGTTGTCTACAAATATATATAAAAACCTCATGCAATGAATACTACGACTTCCCCCAGTCAACAACAATCCACAAATAAAATACATCAATCTCTTGTAGACTATGGAAGTTCACATGCCATGGATTCAATGAGTCACCAACAAAGATGAATGAGGGAGTTGTAGTGAACATAATTCTCCCATGAATCAATCATATGAGCAAATGCGATTGTCCTCTTGCAAATAAAAGAAGTTGATGTATATAATGGTGGGTTCGCAAGCAAGCGTCACCATGGATATTCCCAAGGTCATCATACATGTTGCAAGTATAATGTGATCTTTAAGTAAAGGTCATGGGAGAAAGAGCTTCATCATAGAGCCATAGTACGGGGCCTTTAGATCATGATAACCCACTCGCAATGTTGAACATGCTTCATCCCCAAATAACGATCAACAAGAATCATCATTTCAAGTGGATGGAAAATATTAACGGTTAACAGTGTCAAGTTAATCATGTATATGTACACTGCAACCAACCTGGGAGGATGAAGAATTTTCAGAAGTAATTTTAGAATACATAGATTGATCATGGAGTCATAGAAACATGACTCATTTATAATTGGCAGCCAATAAGAATGGTAGAAATGTGATGTTCTATTTGCAAATGACAATGATGGTTGAACCATATGACAGTAGTTGAGCTATAAGTGTGATGGCATCTCTTCAATTAGCTATCTTATAAGTATGCATGGAAATTTCTACGGGTATAGGAAGTTGTGCAATGAATACAACATCCTATGGTTGACGTTATGTAACTTGTAAATGAGCATGATAGCCTACTTGCATGCAATGTTTGCATAAATATTCTCACATTCAACATGCAAAGATGAAGCAGTGGAGAATGCAACTATACCAAGGACCAATGGTAGAATGCAAGCAAATATATCGGTCCCCTATAAAAATGGGAGGACCAATGTGCGGCAAACATACACATGTGCGATGATGATAATCAACAGCAGATAACAAATGCTACAACATAGCTGCAGTCAATAATCAAATAATGGTTGGAAAATACATTAATCCACTACAAGCGAAGATGGAAGATATGCAGCGAACGTAGACTTCTACGAGCCATCGTAAAAGACCTGTCGAATGTCCGATATGCCCTTGCACATGCACTATAATTTATATACACATAAGTACACTAAAGGGGCATATATAATCATATGCCCGTATGGACCCCGGCGAGCTTGTTGTGGGTACACACGTGACGTTTATGGATGTTGCGCGGGTCAATAAATGAATTCAAGTTTGAACCCAATCCTTTTATGCAAGTAGATAGGAGTCGACATGGCTCGAAATATTAAATAAATATGCGGTCGTGAGGTAGACCGGGATATTTATTTTATACATTCATATTAGGCATTCAAGGTCCTTTATAAGAAAGATTCACCGATAAAATTATTCACCTGCATGGGCCCCGGCGAATATATTATAGGTACACACGTGACATATAGGGATGCTACGTGTATCAATAAAAAAATCTAAGTTCGAGCCCGATCGTTCTATGCGGATAGATAAGAGTCTACATGGCTCGAACTATTAAATAAATATGCGGTCGTGATGTAGACCAAGATATTTATTTTATACATTCATATTAGGCCTTCATGACCCTTTATAAGAAAGATTGATTGATAAAATCATTCACCCGCATGGGCCCCGGTGAACGTGTTATGGGTACACATGTGACGTATAAGGATGCTGCGCGAGTAAATAAATAAATCTAAGTTCGAGCCTGATCCTTCTATGCGGACAGATAGAAGTCGACACGGCTCAAACTATTAAATAAATATGCGATCGTGAGGTAGACCAGGATATTTATTTTATACATTCATATTAAGCCTTCAAGATCTATAACCAAGGTTTAAAATTGCGTAATTAAGCCTCGAGACGATTTTCGTCCGTGAGGCGAGGCGTAAGCCTCGAGGCGGTCTAAGGCGTAAGCCTCACGGACATAGAATTGCGTAAATGAAAAATTAAGAGTTTTAGCAGGAAAATAATAGCAATATTGTATCTTACAATAAAAACATCTAAATGATATATGAAAATAGTAGAAAGTAAGAAAGTAGATGAAATAAAATCATGTCCCAAAGTACAAAATCACAAAATATTAGTTAAAAAAAACTCCCAAAGTACAAAAACATATAAAATGCAATCATATCCCATCACTAAATGGGTCTTCAAGGGAATCTTCTTCTCCAATTGTATCTATGAATGCCATACCATCATCATCTTCAATATGACTCACT